CACACACACACACACACACACACACACACACACACACACACACACACACACCTGAAACTCAGCCCCCATAGCTCTGAACTGTATCTTTACTTCGATTATGGGGATGTGTTCGTTTGACAGAGCTAAAGACCGAGCTAAATATCACCAATTTGCAGGCTGTGGTGGTCAGGGCAGTTTTCATGGCAGCCTYGTGGTTGCATAGCAACACCACGCTCACCAAATCACCATCACATCCTCCTCCTCCATCCCCACGTGTGTTTTGTGTTTACACACGTGCGCAGGCATAGTGAGGCTAAAGTGGGGTAAGTTTATACAGCAGGAAACATGTACATCCCAAACAACGKGGCTGGGTTTTAACAGCAGCCAGATAGCTTTACTATAATATACCCTTGACTGGTCCCTTTGAGGCTGCAGAGCGCCAAGCAGAGCAGAACTGGGCCAAAAATATACAACCACAAATACAGTAACCTCACAAACACACACACACACACCATCCATATGTCCAACTAAAGGTGACCTCAGAAAAATAAGAAGTGTGTGTCTGTGTGTGTGTTCTACGTCAGAGCCAGGTAACAAAAGCCTGGTCTAGTCAAAATGTCTGATGCTCCATTGAACAACATAATTTAGATGTTGAAGTGTAGCTGATTGATTTTCACTGTAAACATTTATTCATACTGTGTTTATTTTTTGATAAAACATTTTTGTGAGTATTATGAACTAATTTAATCAGTGAAACTGGATTAATTTTGATGCCTATTTTAAGACTAAATAATCACACAGGACTCCCAAGGTAATTCTATTTTTGCATCATTTGTATTTCCATAATTATATTTTACAAGTTCTGAATGTGTGGCAAAGATTAGGCATTATATGACTTGACATGATTTCTTTTCATTTAGTTGTTGAACACAACTTTTAAAACTTTTTTTTTTGCTAATTGAAAATAAAAAATCTTTATAAAAGAGAAAAAAGTCCAAAAGATCTGAACTTCTAGGAACTTGTTTAGTTTGCTTATTTTATTGCCAGTTCTTTATTTAAAAGTTTTTGCTTTAATTATTGAACAAATGTAAAAACTCTTAAAGGCTACTTAGAAAAAAAACTACAATTTTGCTTAAGGGGCTCCATTGCATACAATGAAAGTTCTTTCAGCTATAAAAATGTTGTGTGAAATGTTATTGAAATGGTGTTTTGTTAAAAAAACGTAAAAAGAATCTAGATTTCTATGGTTTTTGTTTTGTTTTTTGTCAAAAAAGAATTTTTCCTTCCTACCATTACCTCATGATTGCTCAAGATAGGGGACTTGCATTGAAATCAAGATTCAGGGCAAACCGGGTTTTCTTAAACCTAAAAGTATTTTAATCTGGCTGAAGTATATTACACAGTAACTAGACTGCTTGGGATTAAACTTACTGAATTTAAATTGAACCTGTTTGCTTTTTTGGCCTAATGACTTGACATGACTTTCATTACCTGGCACGAAAAAAACTACACTGAAATTAAATAAAAAATAAATAACTATATAC